ATGACTGCTGGATTTTGTCAAATGCTTTTTCTGCATCTATTGATATGACCATATGATTTTCAGTTTTCATTTTGTTAATGTGGTGTATCACATTAATTGATTTGCGGATATTGAACCAACCTTGCATATCAGGAATGAATCCTACTTGATCATGGTGTATGATCTTCTTAATATATTGCTGAATTCTGTTTGCTAATATTTTGTTGAGGATTTTTGCATCTATATTCTCAGGGATATTAGCCTGTAGTTTTCCTTTTTTGTATTGTCTTTGTCTGGTTTTGGAATTAGGGTGATTGTGGCTTCATAAAAAGAGTTTGGGAGATTTCTCTTCTTCTGGGTTTTTTGGAATAGTTTGAGAAGAATAGGTGATAATTCTTTTTTGAATATTTGGTAAAATTCACTTGTGAAGCCATCTGGTCCAGGGCTTTTGTTTGTTGGGAGCTTGTTGATTACTGATTCAATTTCCTTGATGGTAATCAGTCTATTCAGGTTTTCTGTTTCTTCTTGAGTTAGCTTTGGAAGGTTGTATGCTTCTAGAAAATCATCCATTTCTTACAGATTGTCAAATTTGTTGGCATATAGTTGCTCATAGTAATTTCTTAAAATTTTTTGTATTTCTGTGGTATCGGTTGTCCTTCACCTCTTTTATTCCTGATTTTACTAATTTGAGTCCTCTCTTTTTTTTTTTTTTGATGAGTCTGGCTAGAGGTTTGTCAATTTTGTTTATCTTCTCAAAAAACCAGCTCTTGGTTTCATTCATCTTTTGTATTGTTTTTCTGGTCTCTATTTCGTTTATTTCCTCTCCGGTCTTTATTTCCTTGCTTGTATTCCCTTTGGGCTTATTTTGCTGTTCTTTTTCCAGTTCCCTGAGGTGTAAGGATAACCTGTTGATTTGAGATTTTTCTTGCTTCTTTAGGTAGCCCTCCACTGCTATGAACTTCCCTCTTAGGACTGCATTGCTGCATCCCAGAGATTTTGGGTTGTGGTGTTTTCATTTTTGTTTGACTCGAGGTATCTTTTGATTTTCTCCTTGATCTCACTTTTGACCCACTCGCTATTTAGTAACATGTTATTCAGCCTCCATGTATTTATGTGTTTTCCAGATTCTTCTTGTAATTGATTTCTAGTTTCATAGCATTGTGGTCAGAGAAGACACTTGATATGATTTCAATCTTCTTAAATGTATTCAGACTTGTTTTGTGGCCTAACATGTGGTCTATCTTGGAAAATGTTCCATGTGCACTTGGGAAGAATGTATATTCTGTAGCTTTGGGGTGAAATGTTCTGAAAATATCAGTTAAATCCAGCTGGTCTAAGGTGTCATTTAAGGTCGCTGTTTCCACATTGATTTTCTGTCTGGAGGACCTGTCCATTGGTGACAACAGGGTGTTGAAGTCTCCTACTATGATAGTGTTACTGTTGATCTCCGTCTTTATGTCTGTCAATATCTGTTTTATATATTTAGGAGCGCCTATGTTAGGCGCATAGATGTTTACTAGGGTTATGCCCTCTTGTTGAATCGATCCCTTTATTATTATGAAGTGCCCTTCTTTGTCCTTTATTATATTCTTCAATTTAAAATCCATTTTATCTGATATAAGTATCGCTACTCCAGCTTTTTTCTCAGTTCCATTTGCATGAAATATTTTACTCCATCCCTTTACTTTCAGCCTGTGTGTGTCTTTTGATCTGAGGTGATTCTCTTATATACAGCATATGCAAGGGTCTTGCTTTCATATCCATTCAGCTACCCTATGTCCTTTGATTGGAGCATTTAATCCATTTACACATAATGTGGTTATTGATAGGTGTGTCATTACTGCCATTTTGTTATTTGTGTTCCTGGTCTTCGTTAGTTAGGTTGTTTTTCTCTTGCTTCTGCTTAAAGAAGCCCTTTAACATTGCCTGCAATGCTGGCTTGGTGGTAATGAATTCCTTTAGCTTATTTTTTTCTGGAAAGCTGTTTATCTCTCCTTCAATTTTAAATAACCTTGCTGGATAAAGCAATCTAGGTTGTAGGCCTTTGTTTTTCATCACTTTGAAACCCTCCTGCCACTCACTTCTGGCCTGCAGAGTTTCTGCAGGAAAGCTGGTTGATATTCTTATGGGGGTGCCCTTGTAAGTAACTTGCTGCCTGTCCCTTGCTGCTTTTAGGATTCTGTCTTTGTCTTTAACCCTTGCCATTTTCACTATAATGTGTCTTGGTGTGGGGCTGTTTGGGATCATCTTGTTTGGAACTCTCTGCACTTCCTGGGCTTGTATGTCAATTTCCTTTGTCAGGTTAGGGAAGTTTCCAGTCATTATTACTTCTAATATGTTCTTGATCCCTTGCTCCCTCTCTTCTCCTTCTGGTATTCCTATGATGTGCATGTTGTTGCACTTGATGTTGTCGCCCAGCTCTCTTAAAATATTTTCAATGTTTTTTATTCTTTTTTCTTTTTGTTGTTCCGCTTGGATGATCTCTGCTATCTTGTCTTCTAAATCCCTGATTCGATCCTTCTTCATCCAATCTGCTACTAATTCCATCGAGTTTGCTATTTAATTCAGTAATTGTATTCTTTAGTTCTAGCTGGTTGTTTTTCATGATTTCTCTATCCTTCTTTACATTCTCATTAATTTCCTTGAACATTCTACTAATCAGTGTTCTGAACTCTGTCTCCAATAGGTTGTTTACCTCTATTTCCTCTAGTTCCATTGATTCAGGAGGTTTCTTCTGTTCTTTTATTTGGGATGTGTCTCCTTATTTCCCCATTCTGGCTTACTCTTTGTGCTTGCTTCAATGTAATAGGTAGATCCCCTAGGTCTCTCAGGCTTTTCTGGGTGGACTTATGTGGTGTGTGTCAAGGACACTTTTTTTTTAAAGACATTTTTCCCAAGCTTAATTCTTTTTAGGTTTTAGCCTTCCTGACACTTTTTTAACAGGCTCATCGTGCTTGGATATGTGTCCCCTCCTTTTATCTGCAGGTTTTTAAAATTCTTTTATTAAAAGTTGAGTATATGCTTTTTTTTTTTTATAAAAGAGCAGCATGTATAGGATAAAAACAAAAGTTCCCACCTCCAGCGTCCATTCTACTTCCCAAAGCCTTGGTGCTGTCCTTTCCAACTCACGAATGTCTTTCAGGGAGCCTCGTAACAGCCAAAGGAGTCATAATCTGTTGTCTGCCTCGTCTTTTTTCTTCTTCATTGGGCTTTCATTCTTTAGGAATGCACCATTAGAACTGAAAATCTCTGGTCTCTTGTGCGCCGTCTTCCCTTACAAAGTTGTCAGACTGGGCCCTCTGAACTTTTAGAAAGTTCTTAAGTGAAAAGAAAATCATCAAAGTGTCTAAAGATTGCCTTGTCCCTAAAAGTAACCTGCCCCATTGCACAATCTTCTATGCCTCAGCAAGGAAAACCCTTTGGCCTTTAACATTAAACTCCTATGAACACCAAGTGTTTTTCCTTTGTTGCCAGGAGTTTGGGGATATGAAGTGGAAAGAAGAAAAAATGTTCTTCTACTTTCTTCCTTCTTAGCCAACTAGCTCTCAAGAAGCAGGGGTTGGGGAAATCATCAAGATCATAGTAAAAAAAATATATATATATATACCCTGAAGTTTATAGAAGCAATGAATATTTCCAGTGTTTATGCTCAGATTCCACTTGTGTGTTCATTTTTTCATATTGTCAATCACGTATTCAAATCTTTCACACCTGGGGTGCAAAGGTGACAAAGACACAGTCCTTACCCCCAAGATGCTCACAGTCTAGTGGGAAACAGGCAGGACACCAGTGTATTAAATGCCACAGAGACATTTAGATACACAGTAAAAAGTCCATATTGTGAAAATACTCAAAAGAGGCAGAAAGATTTTACTGGAAGTTGAGTTTTAAACAATAGGTAAAAGGCTTCCTGAGAAAGACCTAGGGAAAGGGGCTCTATGAATTCAGAGGTCAGAAAAGCCATCAGTCCTACTGGGAATTGCTATGAAATACAGTCAATCTGCTTACAGGGGAACAGGTGTCTTTTTATTTCATTTTTATTCAAACACAAAAAGTAAGGAAAGCATAGAGAATATAGTCAATAATACTGTAATAACTAGGTATGGTGTTAGATGGGTACTAGACCTATTGAGGTGATCACTATATAAGTCATATTAATGTCTAATTGCTATGTGGTACACCTGAAACTAATATAATATGATATGTCAACTGTAACTGAAAAATTAAAAAAAATATATTTTAGGGCCGGCCGAGTGGCTCAGTTGGTTAAGAGTGCAAGCTCTGAGCAACAGAGTCAACGGTTCGATTCCCACATGGGCCAGTGAGCTGCGCCCGGGATGAGCTGCAGCTGAGCTGCCAAAAGGCGGCTGGATGGCTCAATGGATAGAGCATGCACTCTTAACAACAAGGTTGCTGGTTCACTCCCACATGGGATGGTGCGCTATGCCCACCCGCAACTAAGATTGAACATGGCACCTTGAGCTGAGCAGCCCGAGCTGGCTGTGGATGGCAATTGGGCTTGGAGCTGAGCTAGCTGCACCCTCCACAACTAAGATTGAAGGAAAACAACCTGGCTGTTCCCCTTCCCAATTCCCCAACACTGTTCCCCTTCCCCAATTCCCTAATAAAATCTTTAAAAAAAATTTTTTTTAAAGTAAGGAACAATAAATATTCCAATGTGTTTGTCAACTTTATTCACACAAAACTCAATGGCATTTTCACCTGTGCACCCACAGCTCTCATTTTTATCTCTTTTATAACACTAAGCACATTCCAGAGGCCCTGTATGATGTGGGCTGTATACATATCTGCCTCTCCCACTAGTACTCAAATTTTAAGACAAGAATATTAAGGTCATCCCTCATTTTGATATCCCTCAGATCACCTAATTCCTAAGGAGGATCTCAATAGAGTATAATTCAACGTAAATCTGACCTGTTCATCAGTCTGTGTACAGCCAGTTGTATTTGATCAAACTATACCAAACCACCACAAAGACAACAACAGTAAAGTTTACTCACCAAGCAGTGGACAACACAGACGTTTTTAGGGTTCTGTAGTAGCCAGTTGTACATATTCCGACACACAGCAAAGAGGTTGTGCAGACTGGGTGCCTGCCTAATGGGCCAGCTGCATTCTGAGACCTAAGGGACACAGGAAAAGGCAATGAGTTCCCCTAGTGACATCTTCTCCATAAACAGGTATCCCGCCAAACAACTTCTAGAAGTACTATGCTATCCTCTTTTAACATAGCCACGAAGAACTGAGAATAGGATCCAAACATAGAAAGAAGAGTTGTTTCACCCAGTAATTTTTTAATTAAAAAATTCCGTTTCAGTTAAAGTATGAAAACACATTTGAAAATACATTTTAAATCCAACAAGACCATTTAAACTACATATTTGGGTTTTGTTTTTTTTAATTCTGCGAGGGTCCACAAAATTTTATTTCAATGAGCAATAATAGTGCCTCAGATAAACCTCAATGACTATAATACTACCACTGCGCCAAGCTCAAAATTTAATTTCTGTTAAGTATAAAATGTTTTGACCTGCCTACTAGATGTTTAATTATAGGTTTATCTTATAAATTATACACTACTCCTAATTTTATCCCATCTCTCATGAAAAGTGCTGAAGAGTGAGCCAAAGCTTGTTCAGGGTTCTTTATTTCTTTCTCTTCTAATGATGGTACCCAAAATTCCAGGGGGCCAACCTTCAGGATTTTCATTCATTTAATGTACATATTCATTTAATATGTTATATAACATTAACTATGTTCTAAGAATTCTGTTTGGCTCTGATCTATGTAACAATCATATAAGACAGGCATTAATACGGCCCCATTTTGCAGATGAGAAAACTGACTCTCAGCAGTTGTCTTTTCTAAAGTCACTCTGCTGGTCAGTACCAGCATTGCAACCTGGCCTTCTGAATATAAATCATTATGCTACAACAGTGAGCTAGTTGAGACCATCATTTGCCTCAAAATACGAGGCATGAGCCTTCACTGATTAGATATTCACTAATTTAACTAATAAACAATAAAGAGAAGCTTAGACCTGGGCAAGCTTTGCGACTTCTTTATCCTTTCTTCATAAAATGTGGGTAATGATACCTACCTACCCACCTACCTCACAGGGTTATGGGTACGATGTGAGAATGTATTTCAAGGACTTAGCTCAGTATCTGACACGCACAAAGGGATCAATAAATGTTAGCTATTCTTCTTATTATTATTTTATCAGGTAACTGCCAATGTAAAAAATGTCTGAAAAAAAAAGAAAATGAATGAAGCCGTATGGCGAGAGTGAAGACGAAAGGGTCAGATCATACAAGGCCTTGTTAGGAGCTGGGAGAGGTATTTAAGAAAAAGAGTGACTCTAAGATCTGCATTTCCCAAGCTGTCTCAAGATCCAGTATGGATGTGGATGACATGACAGTAGTTCTGGAAACCAGTCAGGAGGCTGCTGAGGAGTCTATGTAAGGGATGATGGTGGCTCAGACTTAGATGAGTAGCAGTGGTGCACAAAATGATTTGGAAGAGTCAAGAAATAGAGAGGAAGTGGAATACCTATACAACACTAGGATCACATGGTAGCAGTGAATGAGTGTGGAGGGGTGTGCTAAGAGAGAGAAAGGAGAGAAAGAATCAAGGATGACTCCAGGTGTCGAGCTGGATAAAAGAATGGGAGCAGATGCCATTTGTTGAGTTGGGAACTCTGGGCAAAGAATAGGTTTTATGTCAATGGTATCAGCAGAAAGCGCCCTGAAACACTAACACCACTGGCCTAAGAAAACCCAAATGTCTCAAATTCCTAATATTTAACGGTGGGGAAAGGGAAGCAGGAGAAATCTGTTTGGTTTGCCCTTTTCTGGTAACCAGATAATAACCAGTCAAAATCTAAATGGGAAATTATGTGTGGTTTCTGTAGATCTGACATCTGAAAGCAAACACGTGGCATTGCTCTCTATGCCAAGAAAGCCCATTTTGGGCGGGGGGGTTAATTTGTAACTTTTTTTTCTACAAGATGATTGTGGGGTAGTGGCAGAGGACCTTTCAGGACACCCATTTTCCTGTATCTTTGGGAACGACAGATGTGGCTTATTAAACAAATGAGTTGAAATGCTTGACACAGCTACAAAATAATCCAGGGTGATCCAGTACTGGGCCTCTGTTGATTTAAACTCTGTTAACAGGTTGTCCCTTTAACCCAGCAGTCTTCAGGGCTATTTCTGGCCCCTTCTTGACCTCCAGATAGATTCCCCTTTGATGTAGTCTCGAGATGATATACTGATTTTTAAAAAATATTAATAATAACTGGGAAGATAAATTTTACCATCAGAGGAATTGCAAAATGTACAGCTGCACAAGCTACTTCCTGTTTGCAATGCTCTCTCTTCCCTGATAAATCCTTACTCACCCTTCAAAACCTAAGTTCAAGCACTCTCTTGTCTCTGACGGTTTCTCTCACACCCACAGGCAGAAATGTTCAGTCAACATGGTCATCTTTGTACCCTTGCCCTTGTTCATTTTCATTTATTATAGCTTTTATTAGTAGAGCAACATGGGTCAGCTGGGTTTTCACCTTGGCTTTACCACTTACTACCTAACTAGCTTAGGAAAGCTGCCGCTCTCTCCAAGCCTCAGTTCTCTTGTGTGTAAAGTGATAACGGGCATTACAAACATGTTGTGAGAGTTAAGGAGCACAACATAAACACAGTAAGTGCCAGCTTATTGTCAAGCTGTATGCAAATGAACTGTTTCTGTCTGTCTCCCATCTAGACAGTCAGGCCCAGAAGAAGATACACCATAACTTAATTAATTCATTTTTGTGACCCAAACCCAGGGTGCATGCGCTCGTTGAATGGAAGGTGCTCAGTAGGGATTTGCTGAGTGAAAGAATGAACCTCACTTGGCGATCTTTTCTTGTAATAAAATTTGTCTACATGTGCTATATCTGAAATGAAAAAAACAGGTGAATCAATTTTGTTGGTTTTTTTTAGATCACAACCATGTAAAAGTGTTGGAAATGTGTTTTCCCAAGTTGTATTTTTAAACCTTTTAGAAACTGTATGTCACCCATGCGAACACTAAATGCTAATATCTATAATAAGTCTAAGCTAATAGTTGGCTAAACTGTTCTGAGCACAATAGGCTAATAGCTCCAGAATCATTAAATCAATCAAATAAATAATATTAATTGAAAGTACTCCATAATTACATATTTACTCGACATATAATTACACATCATTAAGCAAACATACAATTACAATTTTTTAAAAACATGTGCTCTTTCCAAAGGGGAAAAAACATTAAGTCATAAACAAACCCAAAACATGTTCAAAAGGAATTCAATCACGGCAAACTGGTTGTTTTGTTTCATTTTGTTTTGCTTTAGCTCTCTGGGATTCACAGCTTCATGCAGTGAGCAAAGTCTCTGGGCATGTGACACTTCACTCTGCCATCTCCAGTCCCTTTGCACACCTCCTGGAGCTGCAGAGCATCAGAGAATGTCATGTGGATTACAGGGCTGCCATGATACTACCCAGGGGGGAAAGAGGCCCAAACAGCACCCAGGCTGGATGCCATTTGATTTTCGTGTCTCCATCACCCCAAGCACAAGGTAAGGTGGTATCGGCATCCCACTTGTTGAGCATACGAGCACAAGGTGCTATGGAAAATCATACTGCAGAGCTATATCCAGTGTTTTAAGAATCTTGGAGGACAGGGTTATTTCAGTCCATCATTTATTGTGCCATTTTATTATTACCAATGTAATGGCTACCACCTACTGAATGCTTACTCTAGGCCAGACAGCTGCTATCCCATGTATTCCTTAAGCAACCTACAGAAAAATGTTCTAAGTATTTGTGAGACAGGTACTCTATTGTCATCCCCACTTTATAGAGGAGAAAACTGAGTCTCTGAATAGGTGAAGTAACTTACCCAGGAACAGAAACAGCAGAGAGGTGAACCTATGGCAATTTTTAAAGTTAAAATTTGTGTATGTTTTATAAATCTTACCTCAATAAAAATAACAATAAAATTGGTGTACTTTCTATCATACCATGCTCTCTGATGACTATTTACTCCCATTCCATCTTACATTTGCGGGGCTTTGTGCGATGGCTATATTTTACCAAATGTCTTTACCAATCAATTCACCAAAGCCTGCAGAGCTAGAATATGGGGATCCACTGTCCTCTGGCTCTTGGCCAGTGATGTGTTTTTCTACCCAATTGCTTCCTGTCCATACAATGATGCATGGTGGCAGAGAAAAGATGAAGCATAAGCTCTAAGGACATTCCTCTATGGCCAACCTCTTCGCCAACCAGCACCCCACACGAGACATAACGGGGGCTGGCTTTGGTGAATTCTGGAAGGAAAAGGGGGAAAAAAAGAGTTGACCTTCATACAATCATGAACCCAAGTTGATAATTTATTTTCCAAAACCCAAGCTGTTCCCTAAGGGGAAGAAATCCTACAAGATTATGTGGTTTAGAAAGAGTCAAAATGAGTCAGTAGTAAAGCTAGGTTTATTTTTTCTACGTTACTAAAGGGCTCCTTCAGCGCCCCCTCCTTCCTGTTTGGGCAGCGGGAGGAGAAGGCTCAAAGGTGGCCCTGGAATCAATTTACTCAGAATGAAAGAACTTTAGAACCGGGCCAGGCTTGGTGGCCCTTCATCCAGTAACACCAAGAAATGTGTAAAGCAGTGGTTTCTGATATTCTGGGGCACAGCTATAAACCAGTGCAGAAACTGAACCCTTGTCCACACACATACACACACTCACAGAGTGAATGGGTACACTGTTTATTTGGAGGATGGAAAAAAAGATCGGGTATAGATCTTTTTTTGGTGATTACACAACACTGGAGTGTGTTTAATGATGCTGAATTTGTACACTTACAAATGGTTAAAATGATAAGTTCATGTTATGTATAGTTTACTACCATGAAAAAAAAAAAAAGGAGTGGAAGCAGATGGTTAAACGCGCTGAAGCCCATCCATGGACCTAAATACACAGGGACCTGTGTCTTTTTAACTCAGATTAAGAATATCAGGCTTCAATGATGCATCTCGTTAGTCTCCAGGACTTTATCGTCAACATCAGTACTGTTTATTTCCTCAAGATGGATACTGGCTAAGAAGAATAAAAAACTGACATTCAATACCTCCTCCTCTGCTGTTCTGAACAGGTATTCTAACCCTTCAGTTTGAAAGCAGGACTCCCTCTGCTTTGTGCTGTTTTCGGCTGAATCCCCTGTTAAAACTGAGACTAAACATAGAGTCCTATTTTAATTTTCTGTTAAATAAACAAATACGTACTAAGAAAACTGCTTTTCGATGATTGCGTATGATTCCTTCAACCCATGTGACTTCTAAGCCTAAAAGCTCATCAAAATACAGACTGACGCCCCCTCAGCAAATAAAATCTTCCTGGAAAGAGCCTGTCTTTGCGCCACGACCACCCGTGTCCCCAAACACACATCACATAACACAAATGTAAAAGTGACTGAATTCAGGTTTTAATGCACAGAGATATACACAAAGCTGGACACCTGAGTCTGTAAATCAAACCAGTCTCCTGTTTGGTCTTTCCCAGCATTAGTATTTACGGAAGACTCTGCCATGGACATTTATTAAAATAAGACTTAACTGCAGACTTAGCACTCCCCTGACCTAAAAGAGGAAGAAATCGACTGGAAGATGAGAAGGAAGAGAACTTTCTAAGTAATGCAACAATGAGATGCAATTCAATTCACGATGTTAGTACTGGGAAGAGAAAGGCCTAGAGCGTGACAATAGCCACATCAAAAACAGAGCTAAGATGAATATACTGCGGTTTGGGGACTGTCTACCTGATATGCAACTGAGGGTTGCAGGAGCCAGATCAGAGGGTCTAGTTCCATTCTGCAGAGTTTTGGGACTATCTGGGAAGGGCTAAGGACATCACACAATCCTGTATTTTAGGGGGAAGAGAATTGGAAAAGCTTTGTGGCATGTGGAAATGCTCCTCTTAGTGAAGTTAGGCTAACAGAGAAGGGGGAGGGTGTGGCAATAAGTGGCTTTTTAGGGAGAGGGAGCAGCTCATGCAAAGAGACGGGGTGTGTCTCCCCTGGTTGGAGCATGGGGTTTAGAGGCAGTGGAGAACAGTGGCAGATGAAGCTGGAGAGGCAGGCAGAGCCAGAGCATAAAGAACCTCTAAGATGCATTCTATAATTTGCAAGAAAAAGAATAACCCCACACCTTTCACCTACGTAAGACTTACTCATGCTTCAAAGTCCAGCTTTCACTGCTGTCTCCCTTCATTAAACGCCTTCATTGAGTACTGTCCATATTATTTGCATTTGTCCTGGGTTATATTTTTAGAATGTCCTGGGTTCTCTCTCCAACTAGGCTTAAGTGCCTTGAGAACAAGAACTAAATATTTATTTTATACCTATGTGTTTAACAATTCTTGACACATGCATTCCTCTGAGCTACATTTTAGCCATGCCAGGCCCTATTCTAGTAGCAAATGAAATGAACATTCTTCCTGCCCTTCTAGGGCAAGTGAGAGCAGCCTGCCGCAGATTAATTTGGTATGGAATTCCTGGTTCCTTTGGTAAGGCTGTAAAGATCGGTCACAAGATAATGAGTTACACAAATAAATACCTTTCTTTAGATATCTGTATAGCGACTCCTTTTATAAATGCTACCCAAACAAACATCTTCGAATGTACGAATGCTTCTCTAATGATGTTATATCTTTATTTACTTCCAGTGGGAAAATGGTCCAGGCTACCACAGATCTTTCAAGACCAAATAAAATTTCCATGAAACATTAGGCAGGATGTTCCACAGCCCTTCAGTTATGAAAATGATGGCACCGGGTCTCCAAACAAGAAAAAAAATCAATTTGAAAGATTTGCATCGGAGTTAGAAACAGAGTATCCACCCACATTTTTGCTTGACATTAACTCACTTGTTCTGAATTAGCTAGTAGAGGGAATAAGAGTGGGAAGGGTGGTTAATTCTAGGGAATTTTAAAGCGTTACATTTAAAAAATCCATTATAGAATGCCCATTTAGAACAAACCCCTTCAGAATGGTTTTATCGGTGCTTCTCAGAGAGCGCTCCCCAGGGTGACAGAGGGGCTGCACCCAGGAAGCTGTGAGCAATGCAGATTCTCACTGCAACCTGTCCTGCTGAATCAGAAATGCTGGACCTGGGGGTATAACAAGCCCCCCAGGTGATTCTGGTGTGCACGAAAGTTTTAGAACCACTGGGTTACTTCTCGCCTATTCGGGAACACTCTTGAGAAGACAGTCCCTAAAAGACACTCCCTTATCTTACTGAACAATAGGGCAGAAAGGGGCCTTAGAGAGCATACAAATCAACCTTCTTGTATTTTTTTTTATATAGATCTGGAAACTGATGCCCAGAGGTGAGCCATGGTGACTGAAATTTGGAGTGCAGTATGTTCTGGCATCAAAGCAGAGATCCTAGGTCCACAGCATGGACAACCAGCTACCATTTAACATATTTTAAATATGTGAAGTTTTACTCTTAAAGAGTTCCAGGTATACAGAAAACCCTTTCTATTTATTAATAGACCCCGATGTTGCTGCAGAACCAATCAAAGAGAAAGGCTAAGTCAAAATATTTGAAGATGTTCTTGAAAGAGAGACAGAAGCCTTATTTTAGTTGAGTAAATCAAGAATTCAGTGGCCAGAAACATCAGGCTTGACATCAGATTCAAACCAAAGGCAGCTCTCATGCTCCTTAACCAGCCTGAAACTAGGAATAGTTCTCTGCCTAGTTCCAGAAGCTCCTTAAGAGGACAATCCAGCTTTTCCAGGTAATACCGTCGGTCCAGGGTAACGGTTAAGCGCAAAAGCGTTAGGCTACTTACTGGTTGTGAGTCTTGGGCAGGGTACCTTACCTCTTTGTGCCTTAGTCTCTCCAGCTACCCCAGAGGACTGTGGAGAGGATTTCATGAGACACTACATGTAAAGTTCTTGGCCTTGTATACACACGCTCTGTAAGTGTTGGCTGCTACCCTCATGACTACTAATATTAGCAATATTATTACCAACCCTGCAGTGTAGACTATTTATGTGCTATCTTCACTTATGAAAGAAGCACTTTTATTGAAAGTCAGAAAGCGATTTCCATTAATACTGGTGTGTTTGTGCCAGTTTAGCCACACTGCCTCATCGTGATGCCCAAGTGGCAATAAGGAAGGGTGACAAGCCTAATTAGTGTTGCCATATAAAGGGAGCCAAATGCCTTAGGTAGCAGTTCAGTCTCTAAATGAGCCTTATAGCAACGTGCCCTAACTGAGCCACCAAGCACGACTGAGTGGAGGCCCCAAATCAGGTGGTATTTCACGGACAGATAAACGTTCCTGCAAATATCTTCACCCAAAGAAAACCCTCAGAGTACCTCATGATGGCCTCATAAATATTTTGTGGCTAAAAATGTGCAGTGTTTGTAGTTTTTCAGCTTCGCGTGCCTAAGAGCAAAGGCTTTGAGGATAGCTCTTCCGAGGAAACATACCGTCCTGTCTTCAACCATGTGATCCCCGAGCTGCAATTCCTTACCCTGCTGTGAAACTTGGCAGTTCGGTAAGACTTGGGCGACAGATTGTACACCGTGTAGTGGTCCAGATGTCTGGAATCCAAAAAGCTTCGAATGTCATCGACTTGATTCCTGAATCCTATGTCAACACTGTCCAGAGGGAAGGACATCACTGGGAGGGTCACACAGAAAGAAAACGGGTTAAACAGCTCTATTGTCGTGATGGGTGGCAACTGAAAGCTGCATCTGAGCAGCTCACAAACACGAGAAACTTACCAATAATTCTGGAGGTAACGTAAGTGAAGTCTAAATCTCCCTTCGTGTAGCTGAAAGCGAAACAGGAAAGGGCACTCATTACAATAATCTAAATATGCCAAGATTTCTCTCTCTCAGTCTCTTGCCCATTATCACCTGGGACACTTCTGTCTCGCTGGCATATTTTGAATTCCCTCAAGGCCTTCTCTCTAACAAGGAAGCACTGTTGAGAGCAGACAGCCCACACCCTAAAGCGAGTAAATCTACCACTCCAACCGGTGTACCTTAATACCCTTTGTAGAAGACACTTTATAAACAGGATCCACTCAAAATGAAGAACAATGTTTATTTATTAACGCTGATCATTCCAGCCACTTTGCCTTTGGGAAAATATCTCCCATAAGTGTCAGCAGCCAGTGGGTAGGGGAGGAAGTGATGGAGAAAGAACAGAGGACATTCTCTTTCTGTCTACGAGGCCCTCATTGGGGATTGGAGGTAAGGGATACATTTTACTTTTGAACATAGATTAAAATGTTCATTAATATACTGGACTTGACATTTGAATTTCTTATTCAAAATTACACAATGTAACTTAAAGTGACCCCAGAATTTTCCAATACCTAAGAATAAAAAAAGAATTCATATGGCCTGCTGGTAAAAGTTTTCATACAATGGAAAGGTAGAAAATTTCTCCCATTAAATAAATGTTGAAGGGTTATTAAGATAGAAAACCAAAATTCTGTTTTGATGGCAATCCATGAGTATTGCTTCTTCAGGCTGCATAAACATTATTATCTCATTTAATTCTCAAACCACCAAAAGACACGCATCCTACCAGGGTATAAAAGGAAAGCTCAGAGAGGTTAATAAACTGGCCTTAGGTCACACGGTTAACAAAGGGAGGTTATGCATTAGAACCCAGGATGCTATATTTGAAAGCTAGGGATGGCAACAACTAGACCGTCATGTACCAGGGAGCTGAGTCCTCCCAGCTTGTGCTTGTGGCTTCTGAAGGACTCAACTTTAGGGCTTCAGTGACTTGGCTCAATCAGATCCCTTGCAATTATATCACAAAACTGACAATCTTTGAGCCAGACAAGCCATTGGCAGGAAACCTTTGGGGGCACGGAGGTCCATTAACTCAACTAAGAAGAGCACACATACCTGGTAACCGATTGTATGACTCGGGAAGATGTGTCTTTGAGGGTGTCTTTCAGGTTGTCCTTTAGGTTACTGAAGAGTCTCCCTGCACCTCCTTTTACCATGTCAAAGAGACCACCCCCATAGCTGGGCTCCATGTCTGGAGACGAGGCACCTGCCAACGAAAAACAGAAAAAGAGGTGATGGCTCCGACTGCACAGGAAACCAGCCCCTCTTTGTTCCCAGGCCATCTCTGAGAGTCTGGAACAAACATTCCTGGAAGCTACGTCCCGCGCTCAGGATTTAGCGACTCTCAGTTATGGCAGTGCTGCTTGCTTTCAGAGCCCGAAGCAAGTGCCACCCTCAGTCCCAGGAAAAGAAACTTCCAGAGCTGCAGTCCAGAACTGCAGCCATGCATCATAGGTGCCCAGTGAGCACAGGAAATGTGGTGGCTACTCCAAACTGAAATGGGCTGCGAGTATAAAATACACACCAAATTTCAGAGACAGTACCAAAAAAAAAAAAAAGGATCTCATAATATTTTTATATTGATTACATGTTTGTTGAAATGATAGTATTTTGGATCTACTGAATTAGATAGATTATGCTACTAAATTAATGACGCTTGTTCCTTTTAACTTTTTGCATGTGGATACCAGAAAATTTTAAATTATATATGTGGCCTGCATTATGCTTCTTTCGGAGCGTGCTGCTCCAGAGAGAGCAGCTGAGAAAGAGCTGCGAGCGGCTTAAAAAGGAGTCCAGGGCCTCCTCTGGCCCTGGATGGAGTTGACTGTTAGAAGGCCCATTCGTGGCTGTCCCTCAAAGTAACAGTTCACTTCTATCATGGAAAACACCTTGTGAAGGGCCTTTATAACAGCTTTTAGGCCTGAGGATGCATGGTGGTCATTAATGTTATTAGGTCACTACTTCAGGTTCTTCTCCGTCACAGCTTCATAACATTGTACTTGCTGGCTCCTTCTGGTTAGCTCTAGACCTGAGTTTCTCAGCCTTGGCACTGTGGACATTTGGGGACAAATACTTCTTTGCTGAGGGTTGGGGGTACTGCCCTGTGTACTGTTAGTGTGTTTAGCAACATCCCCAGCTGCTATTCACTAGACAGCACCATGGTGTCCCTCCCACTCACCCAGTTTCAACTAAAAAGGTCTCTAGACATTGGCAAGTGTCCCTGGGGTGGCAAAATTACCCCGGACTGAACACCACCACCACAGCTCTAGCCTATGATGTGAGTGAAGTTGTTAATGTGTCACTTCCAGTATCTCCTGGGTCTCTGAGAAAGCAGCTTTGTGACAGAGCTCCCAGCTGACCTTTGATGAATACTGTAGCAAGAGTAAGGATTAACCCTTTCTTATTAGAAGCCACTTCATTCCCATTTGGGCGCTATCCATTACCACAGTGCAGCTTAGCTTATAAAGATCGATACAGGAAGGCAGCAGAAGACTAATGTAAGCAATGCCCAGGTAGGCTCTACAGCCCAGCGGACAAGAGCATGAGTCAATCTCACTAGGGTTCGGGTCCCACTTCCTACTCCTGTGTGACCTTGGGAGATCGGTCTTTCTAAGCCTCTTTCTTCCTGTCTGTAAAATAAGGATGAAAATAATACCTAATTCACAGGGAAAGGTGAAATGAATGCATATGAAGCTATTAGCATAGTTCCTAATATATCTAGGGGCAATGGACTGTAGCTATACTATCATTATGCCACATTCTAAAGATCCTATGTTGCTATTTTTAATCTTGGTTCACTTTTCAACTATATGATGGCACAGGGCAAGAATGACATCTATTATTTTTTTTAAATTGCAATATTTATTGTGCACTTTAAAAATGTGATAAGAGGATAGACATGTTAAGTGTTCTTATCAAAAAACAAAAACAAAACCACACACACACACAAGAATACAAGGAGATTTTCAGAGGTGATGGATATGTTTAGAACCTTTCTTATGGTGACACTATCACGAGTCTATGCCTATGTCCAAACTCATCAAGATATATACATTAAATGTGTATAACTTTTGTATATCAATTATAGTTCAACAAAGCTAAAAAAGTAAATTGCAAGAACAAGGAAAGTTGGAGGAGGAATCTAAAGATTTAAAGTCCAAGACAAATTAACCGAGCACAATGTGTAGAACTTAATCTAAACAAACTGTAAAAAACAGAATGAAAGAAAAGAAAAATGACATTTATGAGACAACTGGAATTTGAACACTTAATAGGTATTTGATATTAAAATTTTATTGTTAACTTTCAGGTATAATAATAATATTTAGTTACGTTGAAAACATAGTCCTTATCTTTCAGAATACTAAAACATTTCTGAATAAAAAATTGCAATCTTTAGGATTTTTTCAAATAAAGAAAGAATAAAATACTCATGTACATAAGAACTATAATTGCTAACATTCATATAGCACTTACTATTTGCTAGTTCTTATTCTAAGCATTTTACCTATATTCACTCATTTAACTCAGAGAATACCTATGAGGTAAGTAATATTACTCTTGTATTTTCTATATCAGAGAACTTACACACAGAGGTTAACAAACTTGTCTAAGAGTATACGGCTAGTAGGTAAACGGCAGAGGTGGGATTTGAGCCCAACCACATCCCTCTTTCTTCTCCTAGTACTATCCTGAATTTAATATTTAGCATCCCGAATAATTTCTTTAAACTTTTGTTACAGATGTAGGTATCCATAGGCAATATATTAATATTGTTCTCCAAGCTGTTAAGCTATATATAAATGGTTTTCTGTTTGCAACTTAATTTTTTTCACTTGCCATGTAACTTTAGCTCACTTAAAGTATGCATCCATCACCCACTAAGGTTGGACAATAAGACTGCCCACTAAGATGGACACTAAGGGTGTTTGCTAAAACAAACAATGCAGTTATAAACACATCAACCAGATTATATATGGGAGATTCTCTCTAGGTTATACCTAGAAGTGAAATTTGCTAGTAGATAGGATATGCACATCTTCAAGTTTCTAGATATTCACAAATCATTTTTCAAAGTAGTCATATATGTGTAAACTATTACGTGTAATGCATATGAGCTCCCTCATTCTGTATATATTCTCCTTAACATGATTTTGTCAGACCTTAAATTTTTTTACAAATCTGATTAGTATGAAGCAATATTTCATTTTGTTCTTATTTTGTGATTTTCCCAATTACTGGTGAAGTGGCTTATTTTTATTGTGTTTATTGGCCAGGCAGCTGTACTTTAAATCATACTTGAGGTACCTACTACAGTCCTACATGCCACTTAGATGCTCATACATACACCTATAAATCCGTGCTGACTGTTAGGTACTTCTATCCTGATCACAAGAGCTAGTGCCGCCTCAGTCATCATTAGGCATCTCTCTGAAAAGGAGGCTCTATTAGAAATTGCAAAGAACAATCAAGGCTGATGAATAAGCAAATGAGTATATTATTGTTCTAAGAGATGACACCAAATTGATTATCGAGACTTCTCTCTGACTCTCAATTTCACGCTGGAATAGAACTCCAAAGCACCAACCTATTAAAAGATATAAATATCCTTGATTATCTAAAAATCAGACTCTCAACATCACTCAGGCTGCACGCTCTGCTCATTAGAGCCTTAGAACCCTTCAGAAACAGAACTACTTGTCAGAGCCCATCTGTAACCTTCATATATGCAAATTATATGTCAAACTAGCCAGGACACACACACACACAAAAGAGAAGAACATTATCTGATTTTGTCCTGACGGTTCTTTTCGGTAGGTATTCTGGTTTTCTCTGATAAGCTACATGAGGGCCAGCAGCACAGACCCTCCACAGGACATTGGAGCCTCAGCTAGTTGAGAGAAGTTTCAAAAAATGATACAACAAAGAAGGAAATGGTGCAGTTAGAAAGTGATGCAGAAAAAAAAAAAAAAAAGGACTATAGGTCAGGAGTCAACAAACTACAGCCCACGGACCAAATCCAGCTTGTGGATTTGGCCTAGTTTTTGTACAGTCTGTGAAATCAGAATGGCTTTTTCATTTTTAAACAATTGAAAAAGGTCAAAGAAGAATAAGGTTTACTATAAAAGGTGAAAACAATACACAGGTCAAATGTTCGTGTCTATAAGTAAGGTTTTTATTGGAACACAGCCGCGTTCATGCCTGTACATATTGTCCATGGCTGCTTTCATGCTCCACGGCAGAGCTGAGTAGTTGTGACAGAGACATTACGGCCCACAAAAATCTAACATACTTGCTATCTGGCCCTTCACAGAAATTGTATCATCCCTGCACTAGATGGTTAAAAAAGACTTGTACTCTTAGGAAGCCAGAGCTTGCCATTTTTGATACTTTTTTTAAAGCTTCAGCTAAGATGGCAGCCAGTGAGAAGACCACCTGGGCTTCATAAAGGGTCCTCAGGAATTTGAAGATCCCAGAGGGTGGGAGTGAGAAGGACAGAGCTGAGAGAGCATGAGAGCAACATCCAAAGAGAAAGATCCAGGTCTATGCCTCTAAGGCTCCAGGTAGATTCTTGTTCTAAGGTATCTTGTTGTTTTATAATCTAAGCCCCCAAGAGACAAGCATCAGAGAACTGCACAGTGCTCCATCCCCATCATTTCTAACGGCGTAATAAACAAGTTTTCTTGGGATTCCTGATGTCTACAGGGTGGCAAGCAGCCTCCTGCCCCTCCCAAGTCATGGAAACTCACCACATGTGTAACCTGACCGGCTCTCACTTGCTCAGGGATATAAAATTTGTATCTCCTGGGATAGAATCTCTGCTTCCCACTGGAACGTGAGTTAGCTGTTTGCTCATTTATTGAAATCAAGCTTCATTCCAAAAATGATTTGAGGTGTTGTGATAGTTATGTGGAACAGAATATATTTTTAAGAGGACCAGCACAAATGTTAAGGCTGGTCTTAATTGCCTTAACGTAACTAGAAATACAGGAAAACTTAAGTGTGGCTACTTTTCACAAGCATCTTATTGGTTTGTCAGCCATGGGCAAAAGACCGTGGGAAGTACGGTGAACGAGGAAGGGGAATGCGGACAAAGGCATTGCCCTGGAGAACCTGTAATGCACAGTGGTTATTCCTCACATATGTTCCCACTGCTCATACAATATAAGCGCCCATGACACCCTCGGCTGCATATAACTCCACTTG